AAGTGGGAGTACTGTATGAGCTGAGAACTGCTATGCACATAGGGTGATGACCCCTGTTTTCCTCTGTTAAATGTTAACTACTCATATGAAAGCTGGGTTGCATCATGAGCCCCACAGTGTGTACACAGTTAAAACACAGTCCACAACCCTGACTTCAGCAAGGGGCCCTGCTGTCTGGAAGGTAAAATGTATGGATGCAGCTGCAGTCTAGCTTCAAAGAGTGAGGGACGTACAGTCCAGGGGTAGTGCAAGAGCTATACTGTATGAGAAACTGCTGCTACAGAACATCTACCTGGTGATCTACGGTCTCCCTATTGATGAATAGTATAGGAACAGGCCTAGAAGCATGATTACAAGAACTGTGTTCATTTCTCTACTGCTTTCATCGCCATACAGCCTCTCCTGCTCAGGGGGAAGGTTATCCAGATCGTCAATGGGATGTTTTTTGATTCCAATGATGTCATCATGAAGTAACAGGTGCCGCCAGAAAGCAGTGTGTCTGTACCAACTCCATCCTAAACAACTCCTCCTACACTCTAAACATCAGGGTTTCACAAGTGATCCCTCAATAACATATTACTGTTAATGTTACCATGGGAGTAGTAGTGACAACACTATACTACAGTGCATTATATTATTTATATCATAAATAATATGTATCATAATACTATATTACTTGTTATTGTATTTTCATATTATATGCATGATAATAGTACTCTATCCATTTTTATTATATATATTTCACAGTATTATTGTATAATATTACATATATATTATATAGTATATTACATATAGTTCTTATAGCATATACTGTGTACTTCAATATTCTTATGAATATTGTACTTTACCATTCATACATAGAACTATATAACTATACTTTTACTTTTAACCAATTTTATACAGACCATAGCTGCCAAAGTTACCCTACTGGATTTCTTTTGCACAAATATTTGCAAATGTATGTATATTTATATTTTCTAGGGTATTGTGATGTATATATTTTATATAGTTTTTTTTTACTTATTACATTTTTGTTGCACTGTTTCTGTGCTGCTGTAACATATGAGTTTATCCCAGGGAACCAATAAAGTCTTGTCTTATCTTCTCTTATTTTATCTTATCTTATCTCCTAAATGGTCCCCAAATTCACTTTAGAGCTATTAGAAAGTTGTCTAGTTGCCATGTGAATATCAGTACGGCATGCATATTCTTTTTTCAGGAGCATGGAAGAAGCTCTAAATGGTTTTTACTGATTCATGTTGTCCTAAAATTATCAGCCTTATCCACACACTATGACCCTGTATGCCAGTAATCCCACATGAAGTCCAAAACCATGGCTGTAAAACTGGTCATCTGAAAACAGAGAATCTTCAAAGCTTTTTTAATCTCCCTCAGGGGCAAAATGAATGCATCT